TCACCCGCTTCCTCCTCTGCTTTCATAGTCATGTGTGCTTCCCCTGCCCCCTCCTCTGCTTTCATAGTCATGTGTGCTTCCCCTGCCCCCTCCTCTGCTTTCATAGTCATGTGTGCATACCTCACTCCTCTGCTGTCATAGCAACGTGTGCATCCCCCACTTTGCACCCCCCTCTGCTCTCATAGCAACATGTGAATCCCCTGCTCTTCCACTGCTCTCTTAGCAATGTGTGCATCCCTTGCTTTCTCCTATGCTGTCATAGCAATGTTTGTACCCATGCCCACTCCTCTGCTCTCATAGCAATGTGTGCACCCCCTGCTTATTCCTCTGCTCTCATAGCAACGTGTGCACCTCCTGCTTATTCCTCTGCTCTCATAGCAATGTGTGCACCTCCTGCTCCTCCTCTGCTCTCATAGCAATGTGTGCACCCCCTGCTTATTCCTTTGCTCTCATAGCAATGTGTGCACCTCCTGCTCCTCCTCTGCTCTCATAGCAATGTGTGCACCCCCTGCTTATTCCTTTGCTCTCATAGCAATGTGTGCATCCCCTGCTTATTCCTCTGCTCTCATAGCAACGTGTGCATCCCCTGCTTATTCCTCTGCTCTCATAGCAACGTGTGCATCCCCTGCTTATTCCTCTGCTCTCATAGCAACGTGTGCACCCCCTGCTTATTCCTCTGCTCTCATAGCAATGTGTGCACCTCCTGCTTATTTCTCTTTGCTCTCATAGCAATGTGTGCATCCCCTGCTTATTCCTCTGCTCTCATAGCAACGTGTGCACCCCCTGCTTATTCCTCTGCTCTCATAGCAACGTGTGCACCTCCTGCTTATTCCTCTGCTCTCATAGCAACGTGTGCACCCCCTGCTCCACCTCTGCTCTCATAGCAATGTGTGAACCCCCTGCTCCTCCTCTGCTCTCATAGCAATGTGTGCACCCCCTACTCCTCCTCTGCTCTCATAGCAATGTGTGCACCCCCTACTCCTCCTCTGCTCTCATAGCAATGTGTGCACCCCCTACTCCTCCTCTGCTCTCATAGCAATGTGTGCACCCCCTGCTCCTCCTCTGCTCTCATAGCAATGTGTGCACCTCCTGCTTCTTCCTCTGCTCTCATAGCAATGCGTGCAACCCCTGCTCCTCCTCTGCTCTCATAGCATGTGAGCATCAGCTGCCCCCTCCTCTGCTCTCCCAGGCATGTGCAGGGCAGGGAGGATTCAGTACAGCCAATACGGAGCTCCGCTACAATCAAGCTAAAAAAAAGCCCTGGTAAAAAAAACGCAAGGGAAATACTTTTTTAAAAAACTTTTTCCAAGTATTCACATGACTGCAAAGCTCTGGTAGATGTGTATCTGTGGAGGCCCAATAATGCCACTGAATCCTTAGAGCAACAACATCATCCCACCAAAGTCCATAGCTCTAATGTTTTGTGCGACCTGAAATCATGTCCACTAGCTGCACTCAGAGACACACTAGGTGAAGCTCTGTGGTCATGTGACTGCTTGGAAATATCAAACGCAGTATTGAATTAAAAAAAAAAGTAACTATATTGCAGCGTATCAGTTCTTAGATGTGGTGATTTAATTAGCCTCTTATTTCCCTTTATATCCAACTGGTGATCTGGCCAACACATCTGTTATTTTTCAAGTTCCTTTAACAGACCCATTTGTCTAGCAAAAAAAAAAACGGTAGTTAGGTCTTGTTCACACCATGGTGCAGAGACGTCCATTTTTCTGCATGTGCTCTGCAATAGCACAACAAAATCAATTGTTTTCTATGTACCCTGTTCACACCACAACACAGGTACCATGTGCAGAATTTTTTCTGCGCAAGAATCTGCAACGTGTATAAAACGCATTGAAGCGTGCATGAAAAGTGATGTAAACTGATGTCTCTGGAAGTGAAATCTGCAGATCAGTTTTTCTGCACGTATGATGTGAACGAGGCCTTATGCAGGCCATAGACGGGTCGAAAACCAGCCGTTTTTTAAAAAAAAAAAAAAAAAATCGGTCATTCAATAGGCCAACGTTACCACCAATGGTATTAAAAAAAAAAAAATTGGCCGATTTTCGTCCCGTCTACGGCTGGTATTTAATTACTTCTGTCCCTTGCAGAGAGCTCCGCTATTATATTTGACATGAAAAAGTATTGCGATTGCAACAATGTATCCATTTATATCCATTTTGGATACAGATGTTTTTATTTGGATACAAATAGATACATTGTTGCAACCGCAATGCTTTTTCGTGTCAAATATAATAGCGGACTGGAATTCTTCTTCTTTTTCTTCTTTTTCTTCTTCTTGCAGTTCACGGCTCATGCGCAGATTTTTTATCGGTAAAACGATCGGCCGATTTGCCCATCATTGCTGGGAAAATTGGCCGATTGGCAAAATCGGACGATTTTTTTTCCAACTTTACCGATAAAAAAAATGTGCCAAAACCCCGAAAAACGGGCGACCAATTAACCCACTAACGGTGCGAAAATCGGCCGATTTGTTTTTTCGGACGATTTTCGACCGTCTATGGCCTGCATTAGAGAGTTGGGACAAACTTGTATAAATTTATGTAACACCTTTACCCCACAAGAAAAAACTGTTACTGTCTCTTCTTTAAAATGAAATCTGAACAATTTGTTTCATTTCTGTGTATAACCTGAAGCACTGGATATATGTGAAGGTTTACAACCACTTTAAGCAGACATATATTTTTTAAACTGTGAGCATGTAATATGTTTACTGCAGAAGTGACATGCAGTCTTCCCTAGAATGTACACTGAACTGTGCATGAACAGAAGTTCTCTCATCCCGCACCGGCCAATCATGATGGCCAAAGACCAGCACCCAGAAGAAGCCGGGGAGAAGATGATGCCATGGGACTTTGTGAGGACCTTAGTTCCACTTTAAAAACTGTTAGCTGGAGATAGGCTTTAATTTGTTAGTCAAATCCATGTAAAATTTGTAACATTACCCTCTTCCCAGATTGACAACACTGCTGTCCAAAGGTGTCTTCATTGTTCCCCCATCCAGAGTGGAGACACCCTAAGACAGGTAGTATGTTACTGGCCAGATCACCAAAGGAAAATAAAAACAAAGTCTAAAGAAAGAAAACAAATGCAGCCACCACATCTAAGTACTGGTAAACTGCAATATATTATTTTGTTTTTTAGATTTAATACCGCTATAACAAAGTGTCTGCACTGAGATTTTATTATAAACTGTATGTCGGAAATAAAAGATCAGTGAGGAGGCAACATTTCAACGATGGATGGTTGTACTGCTGCTCTTTCTAGTTTAAAGAATGGGGTTTGGAGAGAAACAATGGAAAGGAGCCAGAGAGGAGGAGATAGGAGGAGAGGGAGGGATACTAGATAAAAAAAGAGGAGGAGGAGGAATGAGGAGTAAAGAAGAATGAGAAGTTATGAGGAGAAGAAGGAAGGAGGAGGAAAAAGGAAGGAGGAGGAAAAAGGAAGGAGGAGAAGAAGAATTGGAAGGAGGGACAAAGGAGGAGGAAGAAAGGAGGACAAAGGAGAAAAGAGGAGGAAAAAAGAAGAGGAAGGAGGAGGAGGAACGAGGAGGAAGGAGGGAGGATGAGGAAAGTGGGAGGATGAAGGAGGAAGAGGAAGGAGGAGAAAGGAGGAGGAAGAAAGAGGAGAACAGAGAATGAGGAGGAGGAGGAGGAGGGGAGGATGAGGAATGAGGAGGAAAGAGGAACGCTGAGGAGGAAGGAGGAAACAGGAGAACGGGGAAGAGGAGAAAGGAGGAATGAGGAGAAAGGAGGAGGAAGAGGGAGTAAAGTAAGAAGGAGAAGCAAGGAGGAAGGAGAAGGAGGAGGAGGAGAAAAGAGGAAGAAGGAAGGATGCAGTCAGAGGATAGAATGAGGAAGGAGAAGGTTTAAGGAGAAGGAAAGGAGAAGGAAGGAGGAGGAGGAAGGAAGAGAAGGAAGGAGGAGGAGGAAGGAGGGAGAAGGAAGGAGGAGGAAGTAGGAAGGAGGGAGGAAGGAAGAAGGAGGAGAAGGAAGGAGGAGGAGAAGGAAGGAAGAAGGAGGACAAGGAGAAGGAGGAAGAAGGAGGAGAAGGAACGAGGGAGGAAGGAAGAGAGGAAGGAGGAAGGAGGAGAAAGAGGAAGGAGGGAAGGAAGGAGGAGAAGAAAGGAGGAAGGAAGGAGAAGGGGAGGAAGGAGGAGAAGGAAGGAAGGAGGAGAAGGAAGGAGGAAGGAAGGAGGAGGCAGGAGGAGGAAGGAGGAAAAGGAAGGAGGAGGGGAGAAAAGAGGAAGAAGGAAGGATGCTGAGGGAGGAGGAATGAGGAGAAAGGAGAAAAAGGGAAGGAGCAGGTGAGTTCCTAAAGATAGGCCTGCCAGGTTTCTGCTGCAGTTTGAGACCCCTTTAGTTAGTTTGTTTTCCAGGTTCCCAACATTCCAGACCCCAATCACAGTATACGTATATTGTGACATTGTGCACTGCACACAGGGCAGCCTATTCTTTTCAACAGGCTTCCCTTGGAGCACAAAAGCTCATGCATCTTTTGAGTTTTAAAACATCTTTTAACCCGCCACATTTGCTGCATATTTCTCACATCTTGTTTGTCACGTTTCAGGATGTCATTACCCATGAAAGGCACCGCAGGCACGACGCATGTTTTTTGCACATTTCCCATGTATTTGTGTTATTTACAAGTGTGAATGCAGACTATGGCTTTGCCGGTGGCTGTCCCAGCCCATTGTGCAGCAGCAGAGGACGTTTAAACCCGATACCATTTGTCAGAGGAGGGATTTCCTTTTAGTTTGAGATTTCTACTTCCTGTTGTATCTCTGGGACAGGAAGTGCAGGGACATCTCCCTGATAGAGACACAGCAATAATAACCATCCCACTCTATAAAAAAAGATCTGTACTGTTCGTATTTTAACATCGTCACCCCAATTACACTGTAAATGTTCATTCCCGTGTTATAAGTAGGTGTCGATGCCATGTTCGCTGTGTGTGTTTGTAATGGAGGCTCCGTGTCTCACCATTTTATAGATGGTCGCCGTGTACTCCCCGTCTTTTATCTGCAGAGTGGCCATGTCGGTGGTTATTCCAATCCTTGCGGGATAAGATTCCACGAAGATGTCTCAGTGTTCTTTCCCGCAGACGGTTACCAAGGCCGCTCACACAACTGCATAGCAACCAACCGGAACCGGGCATCCCATCCACGCCCTTTCTGAGAAAAAGAGACGTCCGCTTTTTTTTTTTTTTTGCCTTCAAGAAGTTAAACTTTATTGTTCCAAAGTAGACTGACAGGAACTTCCAAGCACTGTTGATGAGTTTTCCCTCTCCGTGGCAACCAGACAGTAAGTTGGTATTTACTTTTTCCTGGGGCAACAGGGTGCAGTAATGGTTTGTAAGATGCTGACAGACTTTACCATGGTATATAACGGTTCATGGAACTTCCCAGCTCACACTACACCAGTAAGTGAATGTTCCATAACTGCCACTTGTCCTGGTTTCCTGGCACAACCTCCTGGAAAGCTCCTGTTATGTGACAGTTTTTTTTTAAAATCTTTTTCATCATATCTCCTTTGTTTGCTTTCTGAAGTATGACTCCAGTCAAAGCTTCTATCTTACTTTAAAGCAGTATTAAACCCAAAAGCAAACATTTATTATATTGCAGCTTACCAATTCTTAGATGTGACGGCTGCATTACTTTTCTTTTTTTGGATATCTTTTCTTCTATTTTCATCTGGTGATCCGGGGTCAAACTAGACTGCATAGTGGGATATTGGGATGCAATGCTCCACACTCTCATTAGGTGTCGGTATATTTTTACACACACATATGGTAATGACTGTTTTTGCACATACAGGCGTACCTCGGTTTACGAATTTAATGCGTTCTGCAGGACTTTTCATATTGCAAAGAATTTGTAAACCGAAATGCGGTTTCCCATATGAATGCATTGAAAACCAATTAATCCGTTCCGGAGGTTAGAAATAAAGTATTTTATCTGTTAAAAACTCTTTATAAAGTACAATTTATAGGTATAAATACTGTACAGGGACATGATAAAAAAAAATGTCGGAAATGCATAGAAAACCAATTAATCCGTTCCGGAGGTCAGAAAAAAGTAAAAAACAAGTCTTCCCTGTTCAAACTCTTTATAAAGTGCACTTTAACAACTTCCCCTCCGGCCCATGTATATAAGTGCAGTGCAGGGGCTGGTAGCCGTTTAGAATGGCTTCCTTGCTCCCTGCCTGTGCGCACTCCCTGGGAGCACGCAGCACTACAATCCGGTGCCCGCGCTGTGTCCTGCGGACACAGTGGAACACCGATTGTTGTATGAGACCTCTGTGTAAGGTCTCAATCATGTGATCACTGATTGGCCAATCAGTGATCACATGAAGAGTAGTAAGCAATATGTCACTTCTGACATCATTGCTTACTATGTGTGAAATCTGTGAATGATCACAGAGGTCACATGGTACAAGGCTATTCACAACAGTCTTGTACCATGTGACAACATGTGACCAATCACAGCTCACACAGTATTTCTCATGGGCTGCAGGAATGCAACTAGAGGGAAGGAAAAATTATTGCTGTTACACCTTATGGGTGTAAAAGCAATAAATGTAAAAAAAAAAATATCCACAAGTAGGACAGTGTCACTATGGTGACACTGTACTGCTAGGGTGACCGTATGTAAAAAAAACAAAACATAAATAATAATATAAAATGTAAAAATAAATGTAATGTAATAATGTAAAAAAAATTTTGGGAAAAATTATAATTTTTGGTTATAAAACTAGTTTGGGTTATTTTTTTTTTTTACTAAAAAGATAACTGAATACATTTGGCCAAGATTTATGGAGAAAGATTATTTATTTGCAAAATTTTATAAGAAAAACACTTTTTTTTTTTTTCAAAATTTTTGGACTTTTCATTTATATAGCAAAAAAAAAAAATCCCAGTGGTGAATAAATACCACCAAAATAAAGTTTTATCTGTCTCAAAAAAATGCAAAAAAATTCATATGGGTACAGTGTTGCATGACCGCGCAATTGTCGTTCAAAGTCCCACCCATAATTTCCAAGTAGGAAAATAACTATACCCATATTCTTATCGGAAAAAAAAAGTCAAATATGGTTCTTGACGTGTATATCCACAATATTCCACCCATAATCTCTATGTGGAAAAATATTTATATGCATTTGCTTATCAGAAATGGGTTACCTACAGTATGTTTCTTGATGTTTCTTCAAGTGTAACCATGATATTCCACCCATATTCCCCGTGTAGAATAATAATTATACCCATATTCCTATCAGAAACGTGTTAAGTATGTGTATCCACTATAATCCACCTATAATCCCCATGTGGAAATATAACTGTTACCATATTTTTATCAAAAACTTTTCAAATGTGTTGCTAGGCATGTTTAACCACAATAATGCACCCATAATCCCCAAGTAGAAAGTAACTATTCTCATATTCTTATTAGAAACAGGTCAAATATGGTTATTGGAATGTGTAAGCCACAATATTCCACACATAATCCCCATGTGAAAAAATATTTTATGCATTTACTTATCCAAAATAGGTTAAATATGTTCCTTGTTAAATGTAACCGGGGCGGCTAAATGGTTAGCACTTCTGCCTGGCAGTACTAGGGTCGCTGGTTCGAATCCCAGCCACGACTCCACGGCTCCACCTGCCTGGAGTTTGTATGTTCTCCCTGTGCCTGTGTGGGTTTCCTCCGGGTACTCCGGTTTCCTTCCATACTCCAAAGACATGCTGGTAGGTTCATTGGCTCCTGTCTAAATTGTCCCTAGTATGTGTATGTATGAATGTGAGTTAAGGACCTTAGATTGTACACCCCTTGAGGGTTTGGTGACTGATGTGAATGTACAATATATATGTAAAGCGCTGCGTAAAATTGATGGCGCTATATAAGTGCCTGAAATAAATAAATAATTCCACCCATAATCCACACATAAAATGGTGAAATGTATTATGTGGGATATTTAACCATTATATTTAATCTATAATCCACTTGTAGATCAATAATAATCTCACTGTTATCAGAAATGTATCATTTTTTTTCCTTAGTGTCTGTAATTTATAATCTTCATTTTTGAAACATCTTTTTTCCAGGTTCCTAATAAAATGGTTCAAAATGTAGTGCTTTACAAATACAGTGGGGCAAAAAAGTATTTAGTCAGCCACCAATTGTGCAAGTTCTCCCACATAAAAAGATGAGATGCAAATGTTAAATAATTATAGTTAATATACAGTATTATTGTCATGTATTCACTTATCTTAAGAATGTAGAATAAAGTTGGCAAGGCTAGTATAGTGTGAGCCTGCAGTTCTTGTTCCGCAAGGTTCAGTGTTGGGACCCTTACTTTTTAATATATGTATAAATGATATAGGGGTGTCGCATTAAAAATCCCATTTCAGTCTTTGCAGATGACACCAAGCTGTGCAGTGGAATAACATCCTTACAGGATGTCTTCAATTTACAAGCCGACCTCAATGTACTGTTTAATTGGGCAACTATGTGGCAAATGAGGTTCAATGTTGATAAATGTAAGGTTATGCACTTGGGGGCTAAGAATATGCATGCATCATACATACTAGGGGGGGTACAACTGGGGGAATCAATGGTGGAGAAGGATCTGGGAGTTCTGGTAGATCACAAGCTTAATAATGGCATGCAATGCCAAGCTGCGGTTTCTAAAGCGAACAAAATCCTCTCTTGTATTATAAGAAGTATAGACTCCAGAGAGAGACATATCATTCTACCCCTGTACAAATCATTCGTAAGACCTCATCTGGAATATGCAGTTCAGTTTTTGGGCACCAATTCACAAAAAGAACATTGGGAAACTGGAGAAAGTACAGAGAAGGGCAACCAAACTGATAAGAGGCATGAAGGAGCTGAGCTATGAGGAAAGATTAGAGGAACTGAATGTATTCTCTCTTGTGAAGAGGAGATTAAGGGGGGATATGATCAACATGTATAAATCAGTGCATCATATAGTGAACTCTGTGTAGAGTTATTCACCATGAAGTCATCACAGAGGACAAGGGGGCAATCTTTATATCTGGAGGACAAGAAATTTAATCTCTAAACACGGAAAGGTTTCTTCACAGTGAGAGCTGTGAAAATGTGGAATAGACTCCCTCAAGAGTTGGTTCTGGCCAGCTCTGTGGATTGCTTTAAAAAAGTTTTGGATTCTTTCCTAGATACACAGAATATACAGTGGGGCAAAAAAAGTATTTAGTCAGCCACCAATTGTGCAAGTTCTCCCACTTAAAAAGATGAGAGAGGCCTGTAATTGACATCATAGGTAGACCTCAACTATGAGAGACAAAATGAGAAACAAAATCCAGACAATCACATTGGCTGATTTGGAAAGAATTTATTTGCAAATTATGGTGGAAAATAAGTATTTGGTCACCTACAAACAAGCAATATTTCTGGCTCTCACAGACCTGTACCTTCTTCTTTAAGAGGCTCCTCTGTCCTGCACTCATTACCTGTATCAATGGCACCTGTTTGAACTTGTTTATCAGTATAAAAGACACCTGTCCACAACCTCAAACAGTCACACTCCAAACTCCACTATGGTGAAGACCAGAGAGCTGTCGAAGGACACCAGAAAACAAAATTGTAGACCTGCACCAGGCTGGGAAAACTGAATCTGCAATAGGCAAGCAGCTTGGTGTGAACAAATCAACTGTGGGAGCAATAATTAGAAAATGGAAGACATACAAGACCACTGATAATCTCCCTCGATCTGGGGCTCCACGCAAGATCTCACCCCGTGGGGTCAAAATGATCACAAGAACGGTGAGAAAAAATCCCAGGACCACACGGGGGGGACCTAGTGAATGACCTGCAGAGAGCTGAGACCAACGTAACAAAGCCTACCATCAGTAACACACTACGCCGCCAGGGACTCAGATCCTGCAGTGCCAGACGTGTCCTCTGCTTAAGCCAGTACATGTCCGGGCCCGTCTGAAGTTTGCTAGAGAGCATTTGGATGATCCAGAAGAGGATTGGGAGAATGTCATATGGTCAGAT